GTAGGGATCAGGGGTGGGGATTAGGAGTAGATGATCAGGGCAGAGAGGCCTGTGTAAGAGAAAAGAAATCAGATGAGGCTGGCATTTGTGGGATGTGCCAGAGACCTTGCATAGGGGCGGGTCCAGGAAGCTAATGGGGTCACCCCAGCTGAGGCTTCTAGCATATGGAGCATCAAGTGGCTACCTTCTGTAGCCAGGCAAGACTTCCAATGAAGGAATAAGAACACAAAACTACCCACAAAATCTTTGACTCAATATATTTTCTTCCTTTAAGATGCGCAAAAGAAGGAGCAAAAGCTGAGAAAATGGCCAACTTGAGAACCAGAATGGCCCTACTTGAGAACCAGACCATGGCGAGAACCACTCCATGACACTATAAATGTTACTCTGCTATGCTTTTAGACAGTAGTATAGCATAACTCCCCTGAGAGGCTTTACAGATACAGTGACCCACAACCCAACTTAGACATTGCTCTGTGAGTCCCATGGAAGAATTCAGAGAATGACCGAGGGAGCCAGAGTGTTAAAAAAACTCCACCGGAAGATCTACAGAGTTAACTAACATGGGCAATGGGTGCTCACAGAAACTGAACTGCCAAGCAAAAGAACATGCACGGACTGGCCCTAGGCCCTTGCATATATGTAACATATGCACAGGTTTGTCTTCGTGTGGTTCCCCCAACAACTGGAGCAAAGGCTGTCTCTTATTCTGATTCCTTTCTTTGGATCTTGCTCCTCTAACTTGGATGCCATGTCTGGCCTCAGTGTGAGAGGATGTGCCTAGTACTCCATCAACTTAATGTGCCAAGGTGGGTTGGTACCCATGGGGGACTTCCTCTTTCTCTGAGGGAAAGGGGAAAGATGTGGTGGGATATATGGAGAGAAGGGGTGCTGTGATCAAGATGTAAAGTGAATAAATAAATGAATGGAAAAACAAAACAAAACAAAAGAATACTTCATGCCTGATATATTTTTTGTTAGATGGACTATGAATCTTCGGGAGAAGCTTATCAACCTAAATAGGAAATTTTCAATTAAACTATGTATAGGTTTTATAACTATTTTTAGGTAGATATTTAATAGTTTGTTTTCTTATGACTTTTCCAGACACCCTTACTATTCTGTTACTTTCTGATCTCTTTCTATATTTTTTCTCACTCCCTCCTAGCTAAAGCACCTATTTTTTCTTTAAGTCACTTATACCATTCTATTCTCCTACCTGTTGCTTTTTTCCTCAGAAGATTTATGTATTTGCAATCACCGTAGATGGAAAAAATAAATATTCATCACGAACTAAATTTAAACAGTATCTATGAATCAACACATCTCTACAGAAGATAGTATAAAGAAAACTCCAACCCAATGAGGTCAACTCTACCCAAGAAGACACAGGGTATAACTTCACAACAGAAAAACTAAAAGGAAACAAGTACACAAACATACTATCACCACCAACTCCACAATAAAAGGAATTAACACTCATTGGTCACTAATATCTACGGACATCAATAGACTGAACTCGTCAATAAAAAGACACAGACTAACAGAATGGTTGCAGAAACAGATTACAACGTAATCTGGTACATTCAACAAACACAGCTCAGCAACAAAGGTCGATACTATCTCAGACTAAAGGGCTGAAAAAAACTTTTCCAAGCAAACGGAGCCAAGAAGCAAGTTGGAGTTGTCATGCTAATATCTAATAAAATAGACTTTCAACTAAAATTAATCAAAAGAGATCGAGAAGGACAGTTCATCCTCACCAAATAAAAAAATCCCCAGCCAGACATCAAAATCCTGAACATCTATGCCCCAAATATAAGGGCACCAACATTCAGAAAAGAAATATTCTCCTCTCTCTTTTTAAAAATTCTTCATTAATTACACTTTATTCACTTTGTATCCCCCCAGTAGTTCCCTCTTTCCTCTTTTACCAATCCTTCCCTTCCTCCTCCCTGTGCATGCATGCCCCTCCCCCAGTCGACTGATATGGGAGGTCTTCTTTTCCTTCCTTCTGATCCTAGTCAATTAGGTCTCATCAGGAGTGGCTGCATTGTCTCCTTCTGTGGCCTGGTAAGGCTGCTTCCCCCTCAGGGGGAGGTAATTAAAGAGCAGGCAAATCAGTTCATGTCAGAAGCAGTCCCTATTCCTATTACTATGGAACCCATTTGGACACTGAACTGACATGGGCTACATGTGTGCAGGGGTCCTAGTTTATCTCCATGCATGGTCCTTGGTTGGAGTATCAGTCTCAGAAAAGACCCCTGTGCTCAGATTTTTTGGTTCTGTTGCTCTCCTTATGGAGTTCCTGTCCTCTCCAGATCTTACTTTTCCCCACTTCTTTCATAAGATTCCCTGCACTCAGCCCAAAGGTTGCCCATAAGCCTCAGCATCTGCTTTGATAGTCTGCAGGGCAGAGCCTTTCAGAGGTCCTTTGTGTCAGGCTCCTGACTTGTTCCCTATTTTGTCCTTCCTCTTTGCCTTTCTAGATAGGGACTGAGCATTTTAGCAAGAGTCCTCCCTCTTGATTAGTTTCTTTAAGTGTACAGATTTTAGTAGGTTTATCCTATATTATACGTCTATATGAATGAGTATATACTATGTGTGTCTTTCTGCTTCTGGGACAGCTCAGTCTGGATGATCTTTTCCAGATCCCACCAATTACCTGCAAATTTCATGATTTCCTTGTTTTTAATTGCTGAGTAGTATTCCATTGTGAAAATATACCACAATTTCTGTATCCATTCCTCCATTGAGAGACATATCTGTTGTTTCCAGGTTCTGACTATTACGAATAAAGCTGCTATGAACATGGTTGAGCAAATGTCCTTTTTGTGTACTTGAGCATCTTTTGGATATATGCGTAGGAGTAGTATAGCTGGATCTTGAGGAAGCAGTATACCTAGTTTTCTGAGAATGTGCCAGATTTATTTCCAAAGTGTTTGTACAAGTTTACATTCCCACCAGCAATGGAGGAGGGTTCCCGTTTCTCCACAACCTCTCCAGCATGTGTTGTCACTTGAGTTTTGTATCTTAGCCATTCTAATGAGTGCAGGGTGAAATCTCAGGGTGGTTTTGATTCGCATCTCCCTGATGGCTAAGGACCCTGAACATTTCTTTAAGTGTTTCTCTGCCATTCTATATTCCTCTACAGAGAATTCTTTGTTTAGCTCTGTACTCCATTTTTTCATTGGATTGCTTGATTTGTTGAATAAGTAGTTTGTAAACAATTAATTTTTTTTCTTTTCATATTAACCATCCTTATTCTTTAAATAGATAGTCTTTAAATTTCAATAATGATCTTATTTTTCTTTATTGAACTTCTGATTTACTTATGAATAAATGTTACCTGTATATAAAACTTGTTTGTGTCTGAGTTATTTATTAAAAATGAAAGTACTCACAGAAATCACAAGGAATTATGCTACATAAATGTATCCTCGAGCTAAGCAGGAATATATTAAATTTTTGGCAGACCCTGAATAAGTTAACTATGAAATTGGTGCATATTCATCTGTCTAAATCCAACTGTCTTTATGTGTTCTGCATATGTAGAGAGAGCACTCATGGGTTGCAGCAGAGCCTCAAAGAGCACCTGTCTACTTACCCTGCTTGTCATCCTGTACTTGATGAAAAATTAACTGTACTGGCCTATACTCATTACACATAATGCTGAACTTTATCAGAGCAATCTTCTTTCCAGATTATGCTCTATAACCATAGTTATACCCAATACTAACTAATGATGTTTTCTGTTAAATTGACATAAACCCGAAACATCTGAAAAGGAGAAACCTTAACTGAGAAATTGCCTTAGTACTACCGGGCATTGGGCAAGCCTGTAGGGAATTTTGTTAATTAGCAATTGATTCGGGAAAATCTAGTCCATTGTAGGCGATGCCAGCCACTGGTGGTGAACCTGGGTTCCGCAACAGAGCAACCTGAGCAAGTCATGAGGAGGAATCCAGTAAGCAGCACTCCTCTATGACCTCTGCTCAGCTGCTGCCTCTGGGTTCCTTCTCTGTTTGAATCCCAGCCCTGACTTCCCTCGGTGATGGACTGTTACCTGGAAGTGTAGGAAGAATAAATTTTCCCATTCTTTAAATTGCTTTTTGTCATGTTGCTTTATCATAGCAATAGTGACTGTAAATAAGACAAACACTTTACTCTCCTCTTTCTGTCTGTTCTATGTTTCATTTACCACAAGTTTCCTTCCCTCATCATGTTCCCCTTCTATAATCATATTACAATTGTGTTCATGTTTTTATAATCATGTTTAAAATATAGTATTTAAAAATGAGAGACTACATGTAATAAATATTTGGTAAGACATATGTCCACCACTGCCTCTTGTTCATAGAGCACAAACTACTCTAAATTCCCTGTATCTGCTCTCAAATTAGAGACCCAGCAACAAGAGAAACAAATGCTCTTAACCACTGATCTGGCACTCTACCCCCAAACCTTTCTGTTTTAATGTTTATCCTTCTCTATCTTCTCCATTTCTTCTCTCCACATTTCCCATTCCTCTCCTATCCAAAATTCCTTCTACTTCTCCCATTATTTTCCTTCTTTCCTTTCTCTTACCTTCTCTTCTCTGTTCCCCTGTTTCTCTCTGCTTTTTTTGTTCAGGATATTTATTGTTTCCTCAGGATTGTAATTAATCAAGGGTTTTTCTAGTATCATTCTGTAAAATTCATTTGCTATAAAGAGTTTTGATTTTTTTTTTTTTAATGAAAGTCTCTCATGAGTACATCTTGATATTTTTGGTTTGAGAGCTCTAAGTTTGTCCTTGAGCTTCTATGTTGACTTTTTGCCCCAGTGGTTGCTTCCTTGCTTTGATAATATTTTTGGCTGTATATTTATCCTGCATTCTCTCACAGCACAGTGCCCAGGCTATTTACTTTCTCATTTGATGACTACTTTGCATAGGTCTCTATGAGCCAGCCCAGCTGCCATATTTTATAAACCAGGCCTTTGCGGTGAAAATTGAAATTCATCAGGCAAACAGGGGCATCAAGATGGAGTCACAGTCCCAGGTCTTCATATTCCTGTTGTTCTGGATGTCTGGTGAGACATTAAAGACTATTGAAATATGATCAAGAATTCATTTTTAGAGAAACAGCTATTTACTATAGGTATCCATTCCATTAGAAAAGGCATTTTGATCCATATCAGGAACTCTTTATGTGCACATGTGTATACTCATTGTCTATTTCTGGTTGCAGGTGCTGAGGGGAACATTGTGATGACCCAGTCTCCCAAAGTCATATCTACATCTGTCGGAGACATGATCACTCTAGGCTGCAAGTTCAGTCAGAATGTGTATAATAATGTAGCTTGGTACCAACAGAAATCAGGGCAGCCTCCTAAACTGCTAATCTACTCTGCATCCACTCAGCACACTGGGGTCCCTGATCGCTTCACAGGGAGCATATCTGGGACAGATTTCACTCTCAGCATCAGCAGTGTGCAGGCTGAAGACCTGGCAGTTTATTACTGTCAGCAGCATAACAGCTATCCTCCCACAGTGCTTCAGCCTCCAACACAAACCTCCTTGAGAGTCTCACCAGCTGCCTGCATCACACACAGCCCTGGACCTGCACACTTCCCTTTCTGCCTGAGATCTGCTATGCATGACTAATTGTTGCAACCTTCAGTAGAAAGTTAATAAAGTGATGGCCTCCACTTTTCCATAGTGTTTGCAACACAGGTGCTTATTGATAAAAAGTGAGAAGCTAACTGAAGGGATTTAAAAGTTGTAGTGTTGCACTGAGAGGATACAGTACAATCAAATAAACATGAGTGCAGTTTACAGTGTCATGTTGGCTTTAGATATCTCCATGTTAAGCCTTTAGGCTATAATGAATTTGTATAAATTTTTATAGAATTTCAAATCATTTACAAAGAATACAGAATCATGAGATTATTAGTTTAAATTAAGATTCCACAAGCAATTGGTTTTGACCTGGGCAGTGGTCATCTTGCATTCAATTCCTTCAGAGTTGTGCAAAGATTTATTATAAAAGCTGCAAGGATTTAATCCCTTTTTATACTGTCAGCATTCTCCCTGTATAATGCTTACAGTATTTGTGCTAATTAATCTTTGAAACTATTAGGACACATTTGCTGGTTTATGGGATTTTGGTGTCTTTTATAGATTCAAATACATGTACATATATAAGGAATTAAAAAAAAAACAGGGAACATGTTGAGAGATAAATATACCCAATGCTCTCTCCGAGGCCCTCAAGAAAGCACAAAGAGAATACTTGTTCTGTGTTGTTCTCCAAGGTATTCCTGGCAAGGTCCATTCTGAACATGGGGCCTGAGCCTTGAAGGAGTTAAGGTTTCAGTCCTTGGGATCTGGGCTTTGTTCTCTGAAGGGCACTTGTGACTTAGGCATCCTATGTTTTCTTTGCCAATATTGTCTGATTTAGCTCTCTTCTCACGTGGATCCAACACCTCCATTCAATAGTATAGAAGATGCTATACTTTTTAATAAACTTCCTTGACATAGGCATCAATTAATGAAAGCCTTCCTGGTCCCAACTTTTCCTTTTGTCTTCTTAATTCTTCCTTCTGTGCTTCTTCCACTTGACGTGTCACCATTTCTGACTCTTATAACTGCAGGTTCATGTCATTGTGGAAGGTTTTTCTTCCTCTGTCCTTTGCTATTGATAGGTTTGTTGAGTATAATAGCCTTGGTTTGAACCTTTGGTCTCTCAGAGTTTGTAGATTATCCTTGCAGGACCTTTGTTTTTGGGACTTCACTGAGAAATCAGGTGATATTTTAATGGACCTGCACTTTATGTGACATTGTCTATTCCCCTTGAATCTTTTATTAATCCTCCTGTCCATATGTTTTATGTTTTAATTGCTTTGTATTGTGGGAAAATTCTTTTCTGTTTCAGTCTATTTGATATTCTGTATGGGTCTTGTATTTTGCTTGACAGGTATCTCATTGTTTAGAGTAGAGGAATATTCTATGATTTTGCTGAAAGTATTTTTTTGTGCTTTTGACCTGATTGCTTTCTTTTCTCTATCCCCACTATTGATAAGGTTGGTCTTTTGATCAGATTTCCTCCATGTTTTGTGCTGAGATATTGTTTTAGACGTAGTGGTTTCTTTGAGAAAGTTACTTTATCTACCTTGTCTTCAAGACCTGAAATTCTCTGTTGATTGTTTTGTATTCTGATGTTGAGTCTTAACTCAATTTTTAAACTTAAATTTATTTTTTATAATTATTCACTTTTCATTCCAGGTGCAAACCCTTCTCTTGTCTCCTCTTGGTCCCACCCTCCTTCGCTCTTCCTCTATTCTCCTCTTCTATTTCTCAGAATGGGGGAGACCTCCCCTATTATCTGACCCTAGCCTATGGAGCCCCATTAATACTGCTTCCATTATTTTCTTTGTGGTCCTGGAATGCCCTCTACCAAAGAGGAGGCTACAGGGTCCATGTCAGAGAGAGCCTCTGCTCCTTTTACTAGGGACCCCATATAGAGACAGAGGTGCCTATAGGCTACTTCTGAGCAGGTGGTCTATGTCCTCTTCATCCATGTTCCTTGGTTGCTGCATCAGTCTCTGTGGGCTCCCTTAGACTCAGATTCTTTTTTGTGTTGTTGCTCTTCTTATGGAGCTCCTGTCCATTCTGGTTCCTTTATTTCTCCCACTCTTTCACTATGACTTCCTTTCCTGTGACCAAAGTGGCCATAAGTCCCATCCCATCCTATTTCCTCTCTTTAACCATTTCCAGTGTCTATTATATTTGCCATCCTGGATGAGAATTCAGCATCCTCTCTAGGGTCCTCTTCATCATTTATCTTCTTTAGTTGTGTTTATTGTATTATAATTATCTAGTATTTTGCTTTTCTTTATTTCTTTTTCTTTGTTCTTGCACTGTTTTTCTATGTATGTATGTATTTCAATTTATTCATTATATATCCCAATTGAAGCCTCCTCCCTCACGTCCTCCCAGTCCCACCCTCCCTCTCTCTTCCCCCATATTCCCTTCTTCTGGTCTACTGAAAGGGAGAGTTCTCCTTTTATTGCCATCTCCACATACTTATGAAGTATCTTCAGGATTGCCTGGATCCACTTTCTTGGTGGCCTAGTTAGGTTGCATCACCAGGAGCAAGTGATCAAAGAGCAGGCAATGGAGTTCATGTCAGAGGCAACCTCTGCTCCCCTTACTTTGGAACTCACAAGGAGACTGTGCTACCAATCAGCTACATCAGAGCAGGAGGTCTTGGTTTATGTCTCCATGCATAGTTCTTGTTTAGTTCATTAGTCTCTGCAGGACACCTGGGCTCAGGATTTTTTAGCTTTGTTGCTGTCCTTGAGGGGCTCCTGTCCCCTCTATGTGCTTCTTTCTCCCACTTCTTCCATTAGACTCTGCCCAAAATTTGGCTGTGATTCTAAGAATCTGCTTAAATTCTCTGTTGTGTGGAGCCTTTCAGAGGACCTCCATCCTATTCCTTCTCTTCCACCACTTCTGGTGTTTATCCTTTTTGCCATTCTGAGTGAGATTTAAGTATCTTCCCTAGGGTCCTCCTTGTTGTTTACCTTCTTGAGTCTGTAGATTTTAGTATGGCTATTCTATATTATCTGGGTAGTATCCACTTATAAGTGAGTGTATACCATTCACTTCTTTCTGTTTCTGTGTTACCTCACTCAGGGTGATCTTCTCTATTTCCATCCATTTGTCTGCAAATTTCATGATTTCCTTGTCTTTAATAGCCGAGTAGTATTCCATTGTGTAAATGTGCCACAATTTCTGTTTCCATTCCTCCATTGAGGGACATCTGGCTTGTTTTCAAATTCTGGTTATTATAAGTCAAGCTGCTATGAATATAGTTTAGTAAATGTCCTTGTTGTATGGTGGGGCATCTTTTGGATATATGCCCAGGAGTGCTATAGCCAGATCTTGAGGTAGTGCTATTCCCAAATTTCTGAGAAAGTGCCAGATTGATTTCCAAAGTGGTTGTACAAGTTTGCACTCCTCTCAGCTTTCCTTTCTCGAGGTCCTCTCCAGCATGTGTTGTCATTTTTTTTTTTTTTGATGTTAGCCATTCTGATCTGTGTAAGATGGAATCTCAGAGATGTTTTGATTTGAATATACCTGATGACATGGGATGTTTCGCGTTTCTGTAAGCATTTCTCTGTCATTTGACATTCCACTGTTGAGAATTCTCAACTTAGCTCTGTACCCCATTTTAATTTTGGATTATTTGTTTTGTTGGTGTCTAATTTCTTAAGTTCTTTATATAGTCTTGATATTAGTCCTTTGTCATATACAGGATTGGTAATGCTCTTTCCCAAGTGTGTAAGCTTCTGTTTTATTCTGTAGACTGTGTCCTTTGCTTCACAAAATCTTTTCAGGTTCAGGAGATCCTATTGTTAATTTTTTATCTTAGAGCCTGAGTTGTTGGTGTTCTCTTCAGGAAGTTGTTTCCAGTGCCAGTGAGTTTGAGGCTCTTCCCCACTTTTTCTTCCTCCACATTTAGTGTGTCTAGTTTTATTTTGAAGTCTTTGATCCACTTGCCCTTTAATTTTGTGCAGGGTGACAGGTCTTTCTGCATTGTTCTATATATACACATTCAGGTAGACAAGCACCATTTTTTTTTTTGAAGATGCTATCCTTTTTTCCATTGTATGGTTTTGGCCTCTTTGTCAAAAATCAGGTATCCATAGGTTTTTTTTTTTTTTTCTGGTTGTTTGGTTTGATTACGTTGACCCACCAGTCTGTTTCTTTGCCAATATGATGCAGTTTTTATTTCTTTTGCTCTATAATACAGCTTGAGATCAGAGATGGAAATACCTCCAGAAGAACTTTTATTGTAGAGGATTGTTTAGCTACTCTGCTTTTTTTTTCCATTTACTGTTCAGGATTTTTCTCTCAAAGTCTGTAAAGAATTGTGTTTATAAATTGTGTTGGAATTGCATTGAATCTGTAGTTTGATTTTGTTAAGATGGCCATTTTTACTATGTTAATCCTACCAAGCCATGAGCATGGGGGATCTTTCCATCTCCTATTATCTTTTTCAATTTCTTTTCAGAGACTTGAAATGTTTGTTTTTGTTTTTTTTTTTCCATACAAATCTTTGACTTGCTTGGTTATAGTTACACCAAGATACTTTATGTTCTTTGTGGCTATTCTGAAGAGTATTGTTTCTCTAGTTTTTTCTCAGCCCATTTTTTTTCTTGTCTACAAGAAGGCTACTGATTCTTTTCAGTCAACTTTGTGTCCATCCACTTTTCCGAAGGTGTTTTTCATCTGTAGTGACTCTTTGGGTCACTAATACATACTATGATATCATTTGCAAATAATGGTACTTTGTTTCTTCATTTCTGATTTGAGTCACCTTGATCTCCTTTAATTGTCTTGTTGCTCTAGCTAGGAATTCAAGTACTGGGTTGAAAAGATAAGATGGTAGTTGACAGCATTGCCTTAATTCTGATTTATGTGGGATTGATTTAATTTTCTCTCTATTTAATTTAATGTTGGCTATAGGCTTGCTGTATATTGCCTTTATTATGTTTCTATGTGGCTTACATACCTAATCTCTCCAAGACCATAAACATGAACGCGTGTTGGATTTTATCAAATAGTTTTTCACAATCTAAGGAGATGATAATGTGACTTTTTCCTTTCCATTTGTATATATATTAGATTACTTTGATGAATTTCCGTATATTAAACTACTCCTGCATACCTGGGATGAAGCTTACTTGGTCAAAGTAGATTATATCTTGCATTCTCTTTGTGAGCATTTTATTGAGTATTTTTGCTTCAAATATTGGTAAGAGAAATTGTTCTGAAATTCTCATTCTTTATTGGGTCTTAGTGTGCTTTATGTAACAAGGTGACTGCGGCTTCATAGGAAGAGTTTGGTAATGTTCCTTCTTTTTCTATTTTTTAGAATAGTTGTAGAGTGTTAGCACTTCTTTGAAGGACTGTTAGAATTCTGTGCTGAAAGCGCTTATCCTGGGATTTCTTTGGATGAGAGACTTTTGATGACTGCTTGTATTTCCTTAGGGGATATAGGACTATTTAATTTATCTACCTCATCTTGACTCAACTTTTGTAAGTGGAATCTATCAAGAAAATTATCCATTTCATTTAAATTTTCAAATTTTGGGGTATATAGGCTTTTGAAGTTAGATCTATTGATTATTTTGGATATTCTCATTGTCATTACGTTCCCCTTTCATTTTTTTCTTTTGTTAATTAGAATAGTATCTCCCTTTCTTTTAGTTAGGTTGACTAAGGGTTTGTTTATTTTTTTTTGTTTTTCTCAAGAACCAGTTCTTGGTTTAGTTGATTCTTTGAAGTGTTTTCTTTGTTTCTAGTTCATTGATTTCAACCCTGAGTTTGATTATTTCCAGCCCTCTACTCTTCTTGGGTGTGACTGATTTTTTTTTCCCATTTTTAGGACTTTCAGGTTAGCTGTTAAGTTGATTGTATGAGATGTTTCAAATATTTTTAATTTTGTTTTTATTAATTACAGTTTATTCACTTTGTATCCTAGCTGTAGCCGCCTCCCCAACCCCCCTCAATCTCGCCCTCCATCCTTCTTCTTCTCTTATGCCCCTCCCCCAGTCCAATGATAGAGGAGGTCCTCCTCCCCTTCCATCTGACCCTAGTCTATCAGGTCTCATCAGGACTGGCTTCTTTGTCTTTCTCTGTGTAGTGGTAAGCCAGTTCCCTCCTCAGGTGGAGGTAATCAAAGAGCCAGCCCATGAGTTCATGTCAGTAATGGTCCCTGTTCTTATTGCTGGGGAATCCTCTTAGACCATGGGCTGCGATGGACTACATCTGCACAGGGGTTCTAAGTTATCTCCATGCACAGTCCTTGTTTGGAAATTTTTAAAATGAAGGCACTTAGTGCTACGTTCTTTCCTCTTAGCACTGCTTTCATTGTGTCCCATAAGTTTGGGTAAGTTGTGACTTTATTTTCACTGAATTCTAG